AAATATTTTTGGCCATATCGCCCTGCTCTAGCCCTGTCATCATAACTTGCACATCCCCTGAATTAGAGTATCTCCCATGCAACCATATGTCCACTAGTGTTCAGCTGCCAACTACAAGGTGATGCGTAGTGAGCGAATTTCTTTTTATGCTGATTGGGCTTAAGTTGTGTTCTGTTCTCACCTCACCGAGAACAGATTCCCTCATCACATTTTTCCCTCCATTTGCCCATCAACAATTCCTCACCATTTAAACGTCTCTGAAATGGAAGGTCTTCACCTACATACCTTGTAGGCCGTGCTGTTTGAAGAATCCACAATGACAAAAAGAGGCTTCCGGGTGAAAGGGAATAAGTCTCCTGGATGAAGGCTGCAATATGCCAAGCAAATGTAACTCAGCAAACCCTCAGTGAGGTTCTGCACTTTTCAAGTAACATAGATAGATTCTTAGTAAGCTCTGTCACACATTATGACTTATGTAAACATATTTAGAGGCAGGCTTTCAGCACGAAAGCCTGAAAGTCATTTACTTATTAGTAAAAGTAATAGGTAAAATCACTTCCTCTGATTTTGGTTTAGATGCTGTCAACTGAATAAACAAAGCAAAGTTAGAAGTATTGCTAGGAAATTCTCACCAATGCATTTCCTTCTGGGCCTGATTCCTCTTCTGCACCGTCTCTCCATTCACCACATCTCGATTTGTATTCGTGAGAACTCCTCCAAAATCATATGGTCCTGTGGGAAAGGGTTAGACGCTTCTTTGGTGTAACTTGAAAAGACTGTATCGGTCATAAATATGCATTGGTAATGCTTGGTAGAAGCCACTGTCCACAACATCTTCAACCACCTGAGGTACAAATTCAACAGCATTCCAAGAGAGGCTAAGTATACTGAGTCTGAACAGACCTTGTTCTGCATTAGGGATGAGACTTGAGAACCGGTTCCCAGTAGTTCAATTTCTTTTAATTGTTAGTGTGCTTGCCTATTGATCCTGCTTAACGGTTTCATTTGCACTTGCTGTAAACAGCTGATTTCAGTTGTATATTGTTAAATGGTAATTATAAGACAATGCATTTCAGGTCATTTTAAAGTGAAATGCAAAAGTAATGTAACGAGTAGTGTAACAAATTACTTTCTCCTGGGAGTAATTAAGTAATGCACAATTTTACTTTTAATTGTAATAAACTTCAAATAATGACTCCCAACCCCGATCATAACAGAGGGGAAATACCTATATGTCTTTGATATACTGCTGAGCAATGGAGGTGACTCTCAAAACTGAGCCAATGGGGACTCAATCAGAATTGATAAGGAACCGAATAGTTAAATGAAGTTGAAAACGGAATAAGCTAAATTCTTATCAATTCCCATCCATATTCTAGATCCCCTTTGTTGCGGCTGCCGCATGAGGATGTGGCGGCAAAGTGATTGGTGCCTGGTGTGGTGGTAATCCATGAAGGGAGCCATCAAGCTGAAAAAGGCAGTTGATGTCAGCAGGCCAAGCAGAACAAACTGTGGTGTGGGAACGGTGAAGCCATGGAAAAAGATTTTTGGATGGACAAACCGTGAGGCGACTCAGGAGGGAACTATAGGGGCATCGTACTCCTCAGCCTTCCTGGGAAGGTCTATGCCAAAGGAAAGGAGAGTTTGTCCGTTAATTGAACCCAAGATTCAGGAGGAACAATGCGAGTTTTGTTCTGTGTCTGGGAACACTGAACCAGGACGTTATCCTCTCGAGGATATTCGAGTGTCTGTGGGAGTTTGCACAGCCAGTCTCCATGTGTTTTTTGGACTTGGAGAAGGCATTTGACTATAACCCTATGGTACCCTATAGGGGGTGCTGTGTGAGTCAGGGTGTTCAGCCCATTGTTATGAGGAATCCAGTCCCCTGGTCTGTATTGCCGGCAATAAGTTTGACTTGTTTCTATTGGGTGCTGGACTCTCTCAGGGCTGCCCTTTGTCACGATTCTGTTCAGACTTTTTATGGGCAGAATATCGAGGTGTGGCCAAGTGGTGAAAGGCTTCCAGCTTGGTGACCTCAGAATTTCAGCTATGCTTTTTGTGCACGATGTGTTCACAATTGAGGAAAGAGGGGAGCAGGAGATCGACAGACAGATTGGAGCCGCAGCTGCAGTGATGCAGACATTATACCGGTACATGATGAAGAGAGAGGTGGACATGAACGAGAAGCTGCGGATTTACCAGTTAATGAAGCCAAAGCTGAACCATGGACACAAGCAAAAGAACGAGATTGGGAGTAGAATCAGGGGAAATTAGCTTTCTCCAAAAGGTGGCTGGAGTCTCCATAGGTGAGGAGTTCAGCCATCTGAGAGAGACTCAGATTAGAGCTGCTACTCCCCGAAAGGAGCCAGTTGAAGTTGCTCGGCTATCTGACAAGGACGCCTCCCGGATGCCTTATGGTTAAAGTGTTCTGCGTATGTCGTACTCGGAGAATGCCCTGGGGTAGAACCAGTAGGACACACTGGAGAGATTATACATCTCGGCGGGTCTAGGAAACCCCGAATAAATTGCAGGTGGTGACTGGGGAGAAAAGAATCTGGGCTTCTCTGCTCACACTGCTGCCCCTGCGACCCAGCCCCCGATAAGCAGAAGAAAATGGAAGGCAGGACACGAGTGCTGCAAACATGTCTACTATAACAAAAAACTCTTGAAATGGCAGTGTTGCATTTGCTGTTGTCTCTAATTTATTGTTATTAGTTACATCCATGACTTTGCTTGAATGTTTTTTTAAAAACTTTACATCAGATAAAACCTGGAAGCCTGTCTCACGAACCAGACATTTTTGACTTTTTCAAGACATTTCATCAGATTTCTTTCACGTATTTTCACTTTTACTTCCTATCACAAACATGTGCTAACAGCTGTAATGACATTACTGATCTCCACTCCAAATCGGTCTATTATCATATTCAGAAATTCCATGAAATTACAGACAAAAAAAAACAAAACAAAACAACAACAAAAAAAGAAAAACATACCCTCATAATCTGAATGCCCAGTAGGGAAGACTCCAGTAGCTGACAGGTAGATGAGCAGAACACTGTTAGCAGGTAGCTCCTGGAAATAAAAGTGGTAAGATAAAAAATTAAGTCACAAATTCAAGTATTTCATTTTACTATAACTACTAATCTTAAATAATTTACAGCGCATGCTAACCGAAAAACTCTGAATCCATTCAATTCAGTTGAAATTATATAGCGCCAATTCACAACCACGTCTGTCCGAGTATGATAATACAAGCTTGGCACACCCATTTTTTAAACAGTTTCTCCCATTCTTCTTTGTAGAACCTTTTGAGCTCAGGTTGGACAGGAAGGGTTGGGGCAAAGACATTTTCAGATCTTTTCAGAGACGTTCAATCGGGTTCAGGTCTAGGCTCTGGCTGGGCCGTGACTCCTTTGTTACCGTGACTGTGTGCGTAGGGTCGCTGTCCTGTTGGAAGATGAGCCTTCACCCCAGACCAGGGTCCAGAGTGCTCTAGAGCACATTACCATCCAAGATATCTATGTACATTGCTACAATCATCTTGCCTTCAAGTCAGACTAGTCTCCCAGTTGCTGGTGCCAAAAACATCCCCGTACCATGATGCTGCCACAACCATGATTCTCTATAGGTATGGTAATGACCAAGTGCTGAACAGTACCTGGTTTCCTCCAGACATGATACTCAGGCCAAAGAGTTCAATCTTTGCTTCATCAGAACAGAAAATATTGTATCTCATGGCCTAAAAGGCACCTGAAGGACTCCAGGTGGGTTGTCATGTGCCTTTTCTGAGGAAAGGCTTCCATCTAGCCACGTTACCACACAGGCCTTAATAGTTGAGTGCTGCAGAAATGATTGTGCTTCTGCAAGGTTATTCTCTCTCCACAGAGCAATGTTGGAGCTCTGTCAGAGTGAGCATAGGGTTCTTGGTCACCTCCTCAACTAAGGTTCTTCTACCCCGAATGCCAGGAAGCCACAATTAGGAAGAGTTCAGGTGGTTCGAAACTTTCTCTATTTGTGAGTGATAGAGGCCACTTTGCTCATTGGGACGTTCAATGCTGCAGATATTTTTCTGCACACTTTCTCAGATCTGTACCTCGATACCATCCTAACTCAGAGGTCTACAGATGATTCCTCACACTCCATGGATTTGTTTGGGCTCTGACATCAATCATGCCCAATCCAATCCCACCGATTTACCTGATTTACTGACTTGAGTAGATATATACATGTTCCCTTTATGAGCTTAACTTGAAAACAATGCCCAGATAGCAGTGGAAAGAAGTGAGGATATAAATATTAACAATGCAAATAATGTAAATATATAATACATCTTGTAGATAAAAATCTCAACTTATTGAATATTTATTGAGGAAACCTGCGATCATACTGACCTTAAAAGAGGCAGACAAGAAAGTAAAAAGCTGGCTGAAGGTTGGCTTATACAGCAAATACTTGTGAGGGTTTTCTCTCTTCGCTGGCTTTTCGTTGGGTTCCTGTGGAGAAACATCACACAAAACATTGCATGTGTAAACAAAAGATTGTAAAACCTTATGTAAATGCAAGTGAAATCAAAAGGCTTCTAGGCCAGGGGCTGAAGCACACTGCTGTGTGTACAGGTGTATTATGTGGTTTTATGATCCCTATACATTATAAATGTATAAGCCATTTGTGCATTTATACATGTGGTACAGTAATAGTATCTTCATTAACAGACACACAGATTGGGATTGGACAGTAAATGTGTTCTTGTGCAAATCTATACAGTTTATACAGAGGAACAGTTTGTGCTGTGGATAAATCCTATCAGAGACTCACGCGATGGACATGCGTCAACCAGCATGCAGCCTGTTTCAGTTGCTCCTGTTTTTTTAATCCGTACTTTAAACTTTTTCCTTACTTTCTTTGTCTTTTACTTATTATTGTAGCATGTTAGTTTGTTTTCAATAGTTTTCTCTCAAACATGTGGGTTGAGAAAGTTTTTTCTTCTCCTTGTTGCCGCAGAACTATTACTTTCATTGAGGAATGGGATTGCGGCATGGCAGTTACACACCACACGCTCTGTGGCTGAAATGGATGCAGAGGTGGGGGACAGAAGAGCACGAGGGAGACCGTAATACAGTGGAGGCTTCAAGCAATGAAGAGCTTTAAGCTGAGTCTCCCATGTAGTATAATGGGGAATGTTAGGTCGCTAGCAAACAAGCTGCATGAGCCAACAGCACTCGCCTGGAGTCAGAGAAGCCTGATGTGCTTCACTGAGTCATGGATTAACCAGGATATTCCAGATGACAATGCATCTGTGGAAGGCTTCCATACTGTTCGGGCCAACATGGACAAGTGGTAAGCAGGAAGGAGGGGGGCTTGCCCATTATTACCACTACACGATGTGCCTGACACTCACCATCGTTCCTTGCTTGGAGGTCTGTGTGGCCAGGTTTACTGGTTCCCTCTCCAAAGCTTGAAGCATGCGGAACATATCTATGGTTAACTCACTGAACTTCACCTAAAATAAATGACAAAACAATATTAATATATCAAGTTACTGTTTCAGCCTTCATTGTGGTTTGAAAAATTATTCAAAGTCACACACAAACACAATTGTTTGCCATACACAGAAAAATGAGAGCCCTCAAAGATAAATCAGTGCTGCAGTTATAATGAAAATGAAACAAAAACAACTACTGGTTATATTGTAATCTTCTCCTACAAAGTTTGACAAATATTTTAGTTTTTTGGGTCATAACAGCCAGGAGTGAGCAGTGCAAATACTATCAGCACTTCAGAAACTGAATGTTAGTGTAAACTGCACAGAAAGCAGAAAAAGATCAGATCAGAGGCACAGAGAGAGGACGTATATGAAATAATAAAATAATCCATCCATCCATATTACTTGAGAGTCAATGTCTCAAGTTTTCTCTGAAAAGAGTTGCAGCAATTGTGGAAATAGAAATATATTGCTTTTCTAGTCTTAGTACCCAGTTAAGGCACTTTAGATTACAAATAACATTTAACTAGAACATGAATGCAGTATCCAAAGAAACCACAAAGGTACATTGAGGAACATGCAACTTCTACATCGAAAGACCCCAGCCAGGGTTCAAGCCTTCTTGCTGTGAGGCAACAGTGCCGGTCATTGCACCACCATGCTGCTCATGCTGATGTGTGTTAAGTTTGAGAAACCATGAATCAGATTTAGTGGGTTAGAACCTGGTTGTTACTGTTGCCGATGATTAGTGCGTCAGCAAGGATGAGCTGCCCAACCACCATGCCTTGTTCCAGTGGAGGCACACTTCCCTCCTGCAGCCGATTGCTGATGGTGACGACAGAATTGTTGTCGTTCAGAACTACCACAGGATCCGCCTGTTACAGACAAACAATTGAAGAAGAGCAGTTGAAGAAATAGTGCGGATCCAGTATATCACCCAGCAGACAAGAGGAAGAACAGAGACTTCTCTGTTTACCTGTATGTGCACAAACATGACAATTATAATATAATGAATAAATTACTAACATAATGAAATAACATCAAACAGTATTAGGCTTGGATGGTTATTTACCTCTATAAAAGCTGCCACTTCCTGCAGAACCAGGTTCCACTCCAACTGGTCCTCTGTGTTGAAACGCTGTGTGTAGTCTTCAATTTCCTCAGATAACTCCTGCAGATGGCAGATAGGCAGGAAGAGCAATAAGAGGTGTCATGAAAAAAAAATGAAGTTTTGAATTTTTACACAATCATAAAAGTAAATCGTGAACAAAATTCATGTAGTAGACTACCTCATTCACATTTACAGGGAGAAAAAAACCCAAAATATTAGCACAATTCAATACAATATCTGCAGCTCCTTAGATCTAGAAAATATTCTAACGTTTAAAAAAAAAAGAGAGAACCTAAAAGAGAGATTTGCAAAACCTGTTAATGGTACCTCAACATGTACAAAGTGTTGATCTTTGACAACACGAGCAACATACCCAATAATGATAACATACTTTCTATTACAAATTAAGAAAATACACTTCTCAGCAAAAACAATAAAACCACTGACAGGTGAATGGATTTACATCGATTGCTGTGTTTTGACTTGTTTAATTGAGAAAGATAAGGCTTAACATAAGAAAACTTGGCTTATGGTATTCATGTAGATACTACTCCGACTTGCACAACCTACCTAAACATTTTGAAGACCATGCACAACCCTCTTGATGTGAGTGGCCTCATTACTAACTACTAAGCTATTAGTCCAAAACCAAGACACTTACCTTTTCCTCCTCACCCAATTCAGCTTAATATTAAAGGGGATTTTTTTTAAAGCATTATAATACAGTATCTTCAACTTTGAAGGTATCGAGTGGACTGTAGACAGGTACTACACTTGGCAAATTATAGTTTCGACTATTACAAAATGGTTTTCCCTTATAGGTACACTTTGACTGTTTCTTCCTTTATTTAGCTGTTTTTGGCCCCTTTTTTTACTCTATAACATGCCTTTCATTCTAGTATTAGTAGTCGATACACACATTAATACAAAGTTATCACTTTGTAATTATAGTCATGTGAATGTACCTCATTATTAAAACTGTTACCTAATGACTGAAACCCTGCATACCAAGCTGTAATATAAAGTACTAACAATATGGCTTCCATACCTTCACCAAAACTTTGACAAGGTCCATCTTGTTTAAAAGTAAACAGACGACTATGTAGCGAGCATAATAACGAAGCTTCTTCACTACTAATTCAGGCCTGATGAAAGACAAGAAAAGACAATATGAGCGGGCAAACACAAACAAATCAACATAAAGCACTATCACAGTTGAAGCCGTGTTTATTAAATTGACTGGAGCCACCAAATGGTTCAACCTGTGTTTCTTAAGACTCCAATAAACATTTTTGTCTTTTCAACAAATATTTGATGTAAATATCTACACTCTGGGGAGCGTGAAAAGAGAAATTTTGCTCATTTTTGGAAAAAAAAAAGACATCAGATCGTGCACACTCACATAAAAAGGCGAGTTTCACACATAATATGACTCTTACACACTTAAATGATCCCCAAGTCCGCTCAGACACATTATCAAATAATGATTAAATGGAGATAAAAATCTATAAAGAATGTTATACACTTAAAAATGTAACAGTACAAGAGCAAATAGCACAAGAGCTTAATGCTGCAGAAATTCATTAATCTTGGGATTTAGCATAACGAGCAAAAAATTAGACATTTTAATTCCAGTTAATTATTTCAACGCTGAGGGAAATCTTGGTGCTGCTGTTTATATCAAATGTGATAGCTGCACGTTAGAGCTCTGAAGCTTAAACTGGATCATTTTAAACATTCTAGGTTACTAGTAGCTGCAGTTCCAACTGTGTAAAAGAGACTTGGCAGCAGATTATAATAAATTATAACATTTATATATTTACAGCTGGGCAACAACTTGCACATTTGAGACATGTTTGCCCAGCAGGGAACCGAAATTGCACTTAAAACATGGTGCAAATAAAAAAAATCAGTGAAATGTGGAGGTTCCAGACGACTAAACTGAAACATAACCTACTCCTAGTAGGTTATGCCTGGAGCATAAGTCACCATGGTGACCCAGCCAGGTAAAAAGAAAGCCACTTTCACACATAGTTGACAAAGTAGTACACCCCTCTGAATCAGCAATCATACTAACTTCATTGGGAGTTTTTTCGTAGTATGCTCTCATTTCTTAATAAGGTAAATTTAAACAGGCTTGTTATACATAACGTTTAAAGACATCTTACAAAAACTGCAACTTACACTACTTTAACAAAAAATATCTGGAGCTTACCTGTCCTCTTTGTTGACCTGAAAGTAGTAGGAGCGCTGACGAATGGCTGAGTAGAATGAAAAGGCCTCATTCAGGTAACTTGTTTCTGAGGTACGAAGGCTGTCAACAAAGAGGAATACATATTTCAAATTTGCATCTTTTTAAACAAATCTGCAAGTGGTGATGGATAAATTGAACGAATGCAGCAGCATTCATTTGCTTTTCTGTGTTTAGTTTTGACACCAGGGACAATGAGCTGAGCTGTTTGAGGCTACCTGAGAGCTCTCAAAGTTTCATAACATACCAGATCTAACATGTATTCACTGTTTTACTTCAATGATAAAACAAACAAAAAAACATAAAGATGTGAAAACTGGACTAATGTGATCTCTTTTCTATCGTCTTACAGTAGAGCTGTCTAGAGATTCTTTGCTCTAAACCTTTTCTAGTTGGAATTTCCACAAAGCACTGATTTCTGTTTTTCCCCTAATTTTTAATTTGGATTACATTCTCTAAAGCACTTCCTGAGTTCTGTGTTTGAACAGCTCTACATAAATAAACATTGCTTGCTTGCAGTTAAGTAATGCAATATTTAAAGTTATAATGACTAGAATACTCAAAGTAGTAACAAGAAGTGGATAAATATGGGCACTTCCATTGTGGTGACAGACTAGCTTTTTCAGATGTAGTTGCCACTGAATTAAATTATCATTATTATTTTTTTAAGGAGTGCATTTAAGGAGTTTTGTGGGCTGTAAAAACAGTGTTTGGACGTTTCCTGCTTATGCAGAAGTGGCTAATTTCATCATGCCCAACACTTTGCCAGTTCTTTTTTTTTTTCCCTTAACGGTTGCTGGAAAAAAACCTTCTAGGTGCAGTAGGGATGGGAAAGATTTCAGTTTGTGTGCAGCAGGAGTAAAATAGTGGTGCAGGCTGCGGCGTGTATAAGGACATAATTTTTTGTTTTTATTGCACAAAAAGAAAATTGCGCGATGGTAAAGTAGAGACTGCATCCAATACAGTAACATCTGCATTGTGCTGCTAACACAACTTCAGCTCTTTGCAAGCGCCTGCACAGACAGCATGCTATCGCTAAGCCAGCCAAGAACAATAATTCTATGTTAGTGTTTGAGATTTTAGTGTACTGTCGTTTTCTCAAAGAATGTACGTGATGCTGAAATAAAAGCAGTGGCAAGTCTTCATGAAAACGGTAAAATATACTGTCGTCTTCCACCATCTGAGTTAGGGAAGGTATGCTGATACTAAACAGACATGGAATTTTCGGGACCCTATGTTGGGACCACAATAAGCAGTCCACTTCATTCAAAAGGCAACAACACATGTATCCTACCTGATGACTACCCTATCCTTAGTCAAATTAATAATGCTGCAAAACATTGATACATGACTCAGGAGGCCCTGTCACTTACTAGTAGTGGTAATAAAGCTGTCCAATTTTGGATGCAACTTCACCAATCTGCCATCTCTTCAGTCCATACCGACTGTCCAGAACCTGCCTGTCAGTAAGTATACAAAGATGTCAAACTTAACATTGAGACAATGATAAAACCAACCCTTAGAAAGAAAAAAGAACATTCTTCATTCAAGTATTTAAACGGTACAAGAAAAAAATAACCTGTGTTGTTGCTGGAATTTCCATAGCTTAGTGTAGACGTCAAAGGTCCGCCCAAAGTAGGACTGCCACTGCTTGTGTCCATATTGAGGAAGGTCTCTGCAGCAAAAGGATAGAGAAAACAAGAAAAGCACACATAAAATTCAACTGATTGCGCTCAGCCTTTCAAACAAACTCCAATAAAAAGAACAGTGAAAACATTCGTGAAACAGAGTTGTTAGCACTCTTGGTGCTTTTTGTGACCCCAGTTACTTTTTTTGTTCAAGGAAAAGCGATGACCTTTTTGTTCCATTACATGCAACACACATTATACAAATTTGTACAGAAATGGGGCGTCTTTTTACCCAGAGCTCAGTAATTATTTGAAAACTATTTTTTCAATTGCAACGATGCCTTCCAGTGACTGGTTTTTGAGAAAAGTGATTATTAAGCCACATTTAGTTTTGCAAAGATGCTCTCTGTTTGTCTTGAGTTTTACATCCAGCATCTCTTCCTGAAAGCTCAAGGATATCTCACATGTTCAGCTTACAATTATCCTTGTCTTATCACTCGAAGGCCACACACACCGGGCAGCTTAAAGCCTTACCATAAAATGTTAATGAATGCTATTAGTTAGATTTTCCTTTCTTCATGCTCCAATATTCAACCAGTAAAATGTGCTAAACAGCTTTTTAAAGCAGGTTAACAATTACAGTAAAGAAAATGACACCATGCTGCACATTGTTATTAGCTATGGTTAATTTTCAAACCTTTTCAAGCTTTTAAATTTTCAAGGTAAACTTAAAATACACTTTTTATTCTCATAAAACCACCATGCACTAAAGACAGAAAACTACAATAAATGCACATTAACTGAGACAAAACCCTACATGGATAGCATACATAATTAGTGTATTCTGATACACACATATGAGAATATATTGATGGTATTAAATTTGATCCTAGCTGATCTCTTCTTACAATGCTCACACGCCAACATTACTACAGTGAATGGTGAACAACCAAAATTAAACTGGATGTTTAACAATAGTGCTTCATATTTCAACAATACTCTGAATTTGTGCGCCCTCTAAATCCTAACTTTGACCTGATGACCCGCTCCCTCTGTCAATGATTCAAATGTGACCAAAAGGCAGCGTCAGCCCTGACTAATGCATCACAAACCCAGTGCGTCACTCTCATCTCAGAACAAAACAAGCAGAAGGCACCAGGGTACAAAAGGATGGCTGGCTGATTATCTAGCTCATAAGACGCTTTCACAATACTTCACTCATAATTTTTAAACATACAATATGATTATTGTATGAGTATTGCAATAACAGATACTGAGATTTATCACCTTTTCTAAAAAATAATAATAAAATAAATTATGTCCTAAAAGTTAATCTGTTTTATCCAGTAAGATGAAGTTATGATGGGCATTATTGTAAGAGCCAGGAAGCAGGCACTTTCAGTCCTGCCTGTCTGTAAAATTAACAGAAAGTATTAATTTACCAGGATAACACAATAACTTGTGTCTGAAAAGTAGTATGTTTCTCTTTTCATCTTAAAGTCCCAGATTTAAGCTGAAATAAAAATCATTCTATTAGCAACTAGACATAAACAGTGGCAGCCTACCTTACCAACCTTGATCAATAACAAAAATATGGTGCCAAGCCACCAGAAACACAGAAAAACAAACAGTAGGGCTAGAATGTTTTAGAGATTTCCCAACTTCCAGCCATTAACCACAATCGCTAGATCCCTGGCTGTACGAGACTGCATGCCAAAGATCCTTGGGCAAGATACAAACCCCAAGTTGCTCTCCGGTGCAACGACTGGAGTGAGCATGTCTCTTTTCACACCTTTCAGTCTTTAACTTATTAATGGGATGCTTTTGCAGACTGTGAGTACATTTGAAAATAGCAAAATGAAGCACCAACATCGGTCATGGCTTTGGTTTATATCTGTGTCAGTTTTTCATTCAGCAGAACAGAGTCACTAAGAGCTAGGCTTCAAAAGGCAATATGAGCTAAAATTTTACTATTGGAAAAGTAAATGCAAGTTAACTTTGAAACTTTTCATAAAAACTGGGAGTACCCAACATATCCATGTCAGTCGGGGGCCTGGCCCCATTTTGTACTCAATTTCTTAGTGTCAGTTCTGGCCAGCTTGGCTTATATCAAATGGCAGGTTTACCAACTCAGCAGGAAAACTCCTGCTACTCCAGATGGCCAGTCTCTGTTTATTCAACAGTTTTTCTGAAGCTTTCTGAAGCTGTGATAGCCACTCTAACAATATCGCAAGAAACAAATCCAAAAGAAATGTGACTAGGAATGCATCTGAGGACTAGATTAAGTGTAAACTACAATATCTTGCTTCGTGTATGACAAAAAGAAAACAAGCAACCTTAAGAACCAAGTAAGGCCAAGGCTTCAGTCAGGGTGATTTGTGAAGTTGCCATTTTTTGAATTGTTGTGAGCAGCATGACCCTTGTCAGTTTTTTGTTGGGTTTTTTTTTTTTTACAACTCCAACAGCAAACTCTAATCTTAGAATCTTTTCTAGATGTAAGGAATTGTGTACAAAAGACAAAAGTGTAAAAAAACCAAAGAGCTTCTACGCTTAAGCGCTTTAAAGCTTTGCTGTATTGATGACAGCTTTGTACATGCTTGGCAACATCTTAACATTCAGCTTCTCACCCAGAATGGGTAGTGTTATTGATAAAATTTCTTCCTTTCTTATTGTGTGTTCAGACCCAACACAAAAGGCACTTTTAGATCCAATAAAGGACTAGATGTTACAATCCCAGTCTACAGCATAAAATCCTCTTCTGTTGTTACATTGTATTTATATTAAGTCACATCAAAACAAACAAACAAACCACAGTAACAATTTTGCAAATAAAAAACGTGAGTAGTTACTTTTGCTGTGATTTTATGCACGGGACAAAGTAACAGTAACTTTATTAAGATGTGGATTGCCGTCTAATTGGGTCTGCCTGTTTTGGACATATTAATTTGTCCTCCTTTTAGTAGATTGCCTAACTCATGCCTGAAATGAACAGGCTACTTCTATGCTTATAAATAAATTACTTAGTGAAAAATCTAGGACCAGTACTGCTTCTTGATCTCAGGAGTTCTGCTCAGAGTGTGAGGGACACTTCTTTTTCCTTCTGTAACATTCAGTAAGCTGCAGCAAGTAGAAACATCATAGAGACATCATGTTGCTTCTAGCTTTCTCTCTAAGTGATCATCTCACTTGTAAAATGTAAATAAAAGCGCAGTTGGTATCTTTGATTTATGTCCGTGATCATTCTGTCAGCTGACATTGCGGACGAGAAGAAGCAGCATAACAAGAAGGTGGAACATAAAATGCAATTGGGGCAAACTCCAACAACGGGTGGAAATGAATCCACTAAAATGGCTTGCACTCTATAGCAATCACAATTAGTTTCTAAAGAGCGTAAATAGGTCAGCAATGCTCAGCTGATAACTGCTTCAGTTATAAAATGTTTCAAACTCCAAATCAGGAAAGTACGACAAATAGCCATAAGTGGCATGAGTTAGTTAATTGTGTTGATGCATAAATGTTGCCCATCCCGTTTCCAAGATATAAGTTCATAAGAAAGATATTAAAGATTGGAGATCGCTAGTGATGATGTCAACATTAGCCATGACTCTCACTCTAGATGAATCACAGAGATTATATCTCTTAAAACGGGAACCTTCATTCATTTTTTCAGCAGAAGACTAATAGCAAAGACATACAGGAAAGCGCCTAAAGGACATCCCTGTTTCACCCCACTGGAAACATTAAAAGGTTCACTCAAAAAGCCATTTACTTTTACTTACACAATGGACTTTTATGAAAATTCACATATGTCTATATCACTGTCTACAAGTAGGAATGTGAAACATAAACGCTTTCTTTTGATGCAAACCTATATAAAGAAGCCTGTGTCATTGCCAGTATATACAATTTCTCTTAAAGTTATCTCACATCTGAAGACTACAAGTCTATTTTTATCAATAATGATACACACATCATTAACTCCATTCATTAGAATTTTAGCTAATATTTTATAATCCACATTCCTTATAGATTGCTGCCTGTAATGATTTAAATCACAATCATCGCCATTTTTATGAAATAAACACACGATTATCCATCTTACTCGTGTGTAACACAGGTCTATCCATTCCTGCCATTGCTCAATCTGAATGAAGCCATGAAGAACATTACCAAAAAGGCGACATTCACAGATTACTGAAGCCACCAATGTGGCACATTCCAGGTCGTGCCACAATCCTACTGTCCAAGATGATACTGGTATACATTTTTATGTGATTTAAAAAACAAAAAAGAAAAAAGAAAGTCATATTACGATATGAATGAAATAGCAATGCAATAGGTGGAAACTGGTCTTAGCATTTGAACCAAAATGCATCATTTAGTACAACCAGGGTTTAAAGCATGTGAGGAGGTGACAACAGCAGCTGTAGATCTGCTACCCAAAAGGAAACAAAATACTCCACTGTGCAAAGCAAAGGCAAGTGAGCCAGTGTTAGCAACTCTGCAATATACCACTGCTAAAACCACCAGGAAGGTTTCTTCTTCAGCTGCTGTATGTTTGATTAAACACAGTGTTTTAGGTTTCGTGAGCACCAAAAATGTGTCTGTGAAGGAAAATCCTGAGCGTTCTAAATTGAAATTTATGAAAAGTGTTGCTCAGAGTAAAAAGAAAGAATATGTCTGTGAAGGTTCTCAGTCATCCAGGTCATCGTAGTCAAAGGAGCTTGCAAAGAAAAGCGTCTGGACTTCTTTAAGTTGCTCCCCACCATTTGACCTTAGAACTGAAGAAGCTTCTCGGATGAGAGGTGAAACGTCTTCAAGCAACTTAAAGAAGTCCAGACGCTTTTCTTTGCAAGCTCCTTTGACTAAGAAGTTTAACTTCCCAGAGAAAGAGCTTTTTCAAACTTTTAAGAAAAGCAGAAAAACTTGGAGAATGCCAACAAAATGTTTCATATGCATGCATTTTATTCATTTTATCGGCCTGCAGAAGTTTCAGGATATCAGATTTTATGTTTAAAACACATTTGTTTTGACTAACATGATATTCTGCTCATTTCATTCTTAGTTATAATTTAATAAATGAATGCAAGCACCCAAAAATGTTTATGGTTTACATTGTATTCATTTTTAAGCCATCAAATAACAAATTTCCAAATTTACATGAGCTACACATCAATCCACCCCTCTAACAGACAGGGCACACCACTTCCTACACTGGTACCGAATGCTGCAGAATAATCCAGTGAAAACACACTCTTGAGGGGTATCTGTTCAATGCACTGTAAACCAATGTTAGAGTAGAAAACACAGTCCAGCAGACAGAAGAAAACAAAGTAAATTCCAACCAACCGTAGCCCATTGAAGAGTTGCTTGGACTTGTCCAGGAGATAGCAGAAGTCTGTGACAGTCTTCCTTTCACCTAATGGAATATCATCCTCAGTCTCAGCTCCAGTCATGACACTGACTTTTCACACCTGAATTTAAAGAGAAATACAGACCGTATACGGTCGATACTCTATAGACTGATGGTGATGGATTAAAGAAAAACATTTCTGTTACAAAAAAATATTAGTACTCATTGAAACTGATGGAAGCTACATGAAAGTCAGCCAATCAGAACTTGTGACTGACTAAAGAGGAACAATTTAGACCGTTAAAATGAAGCAAAAGATTGTTGTTGTTGTTTTTGTCTTGATTTCCAGAGCAAATTCCTGATACTGTCTATCCTGTAACACTTACATCATGATTTAGTAAACTCCAGTTGTTTTTAAACATCTATAAATAAATTTGATTTGACTTGAAAATAATCTAGTCATATGTAACATGTTGATATGCATGGTTGTACTAATGAACACTGATAATTGGAGTTATCCAAGCGTCTTACTGGTGCCCTACTTACTTATGAATAGAAATAAGAAACTATGGAGGAGGAAATGCATCACATGGTCACCCTTTTTTTAGGTTGACCTGGGATGTCCCATATTTCATTCTCACAGTGGCTGCAGTCTCCAGTTTGCTAAGGATGTACAATCAGGTCAAGGCAGCAGACAGCTAGGGCACAATGTTCAGCTAATGCTCTGCATGTTAAAATCATTTGCAGCTAACGACAATTTTACCGTGCTATAAACATGTCTGGCTATAGCCCCTAAGTTACTGTGCATGTGTGTGGCTCTACATCTGTTTGGCTTTTAAGTAATGTAAATCCATCATTTCAAACTGAAGAGTTAAAAAAGGAATTTTTCTATACATTGAAATTCTATATAAACCTCACCTTAACAGATTTTTCAGATTAATTAAGCACTGCCTAAAAGTATAATTTTCCTGTACTTGTGTGGGCATTTGATGCCATGACGGTGTATGTGGTGAGAAACGGCAATAGCAACAAACAAAGCCCTGTCACATTGAGTAGTTATGTATGTAGCTGCATGTCATGAAATACAGTTAACAGTCCATTAATCCTTTTCTGAGTGGGCGTGCCTGTGGGCGTGTCAGTGTTTGCAGTAGCAGAGTCGGGATGTTAACTGAACTGTTATGTATGATGGATTATACCAAGTTATTCCAGAATAGATACAATGACAGTAAAGGGCTATTCTAAGTGTTTCTACATTTCTAATATTATGATTTAGGGCTGGGCCATATTATACCGTTCACGGTAATACCGGTATAATGTTAGGCAACTATAGGAAAATGAAATATAGCGATAGAATGGGAGTAAAACGCGCATGCGCAGTGCCTTTGTTTTCATACGCACATGGCCGATTGTTGAGTGAAACAGATGAACCATAATTGGTTTGTAAAAATGGTGCAACTTCCGTGATGTGGAACTGGTTTGGTGTTTGTCCGTCAGATACACAACAAAGCACATTTTTTGCAGAACATGCAAGCGGCCGTCGTTATTGTCGTATTTGTCGGACTAAGATGCTCATCAGGTCAAACAACACTGCAGCATCACTGAGAGTTAAAAACTGTCTAAATTCTTTCATCTTTAATAAAACGATCAGCATTGCTGCTTTACCAGGTGTAACTATGAAGTTTAACTTCCAGGCATCCATGAAAACAAAAGTTATTACATTTAACGGAGTTAGAAGTTAGCAGGAAGCTAGCGGAAGTTAGCTCGCTAGTTTCGCTAGTTACCTAAGCATGATATTGCATGTTCTGACTGAGAGATTTCTGAAAAAAATCAAACGTACAGCTCTGCTATCACTTCCAACATAAATGAAGACAGGAAACTAAACAGCAGTGACGTTTGTAGGGTTACTGAAGTTGGGCTAGCTGGTATATAATGATGTGCTACGTGATCGCTAGCGACACAGCTATGTTAGCATAACATAAACAGTGAAGCTGGAGGACGAACACTAACACTTTTCCACTTATAAAAGTTAACGTGAAGGTTCCTCATGGCTAGAGACAAATGCAATCGCATGGCAGGATGCTGTAAACGGACCAAACTTCAGTCAGGAGAACAACTGAGATAATCCATCCACAACACGAGGTTAGTCATTAATATACTGCAACAACATGGGAATAGAGCAGCTGCCAGAGAATTCAACATTAATGAATCAATGGTACAGAAGTGGAGGAAGCAAGAAGAATGAGTTTAATAAAGTTTGATTTATCTGACTGCTTTGTTTCGCTTAATGTGCCTTATAATCCCGTGCACCTTATGGTCCGAAAAATGCGTACTGCACACTGCAGTTTAATGTTGCAAAGCACCTCTTTTTAACTTCAGTGGATATTATACATGGTTATGCTCAGGATATGTCAGCCCATTTCTACTGGAAATGCCTTTTGGTTAAACTTTCAGCAAGGAATTTGCATTTGCACTGTTACATTTTTATAAAGCTTTAATGTACATAAAAACCAGCTTCTTGTTTAAGTGAAAATAAATGGAAGGTTGTCTTTTTGCACTAGTAATGTTGTGGAGTTGTATTTTGTCTTGCATCAATTATATCGTCAGTTATATCGTTATCGCAAATTTTCAAATATATATCGTGATAAATATTTTTGGCCATATCGCCCTGCTCTATTATGATTACAGTTTAGTCCAATGCTAGATTAGCAAAGTCTAGAGTTAAGTGAGTTAGTGGGTTGGTGACTATCACTGTGCGCAGGAAAACTTGTGAACGGAACTCAAGCTATCTTTACTTAACTTATGTAATGAAGTAAATGAGTGGAATGACGTGGAATGGCACGTCATTACACTCATTTACTTTGGGGTGCTGCTTATATTTTTATTTAAATAAATACGTTTAGGTTATGGTAAAAGTGAGGTTTTTCATGTAAAGATTTTTCAGAATATGCTGCGAACACTTCTGTCTTGTAAGTTAGAGTGCCCTAGCTGCTTCTTAAATAAGACATGCGAAGACGGCACCTTGGACATTTTTGTATTGTCTAATTATTTCATGAAACTGATGTTCTTTGTATGAAGTGTGTGAAGCCTTATTTTACTTGTAGTACCTAAAACTTATGCTCAGTTTTAAATGAAGGCGAGAAGCTGTGAGAGTCAATCTCATGCTATACATCATTGTTTTCTCTCGCTTTCCCTTGTGGCTTACTTATCATGTTAACAGCAGCAGAGTTGGTAAAAACCTGTCTCACCTGTGAACATCTCTTTGTTCCAAACCAACACAACATGCAGCACAAGTAGTATTTGTCTCTATGTTTGGAAGAAAGATCTCCAAAAATAACAATCAAGTTTGGAGAATTTTTTTTAAAAAATGAGGTAAACTGAATACCAATATTATTATCACTGGTAGATGGGTGGCATTCATTTAAATCCAATTCAAATTTCTGTCTTTGCCGGTAAAAATCTGTATCAAAGAGCGTGATTGTGCTATGAGCTCTAATAACATAGCTCATTCCTGATATCTAACATCAGCATCATGAATAAAATCTCAACATAATAAGCATCTGGATATTAAAGATAACAGAGAATACCACATATATGCAGGTGACACTGAGTGCTGGCGGTTGCAGGGCTTTTATCCGCCTCTGCTTGTGTAATTGCCATTTGTTCTTACCTGTGCAGCCGGCTAACGGTGACAAACTGTACTCTCTTTCACAGAGATGCTTCTCAAAAATCACAGCGAAAGCCTCGACGAGCTCTACTGCTGAAGCGCGACTTTCCTGGCATCTCAGTGCGTGGAAGTGCCACCAGACCGGCTAACGAGTTCCCCCGCAGCGTTGATTGGACTGCTGTCTGTCCGAGCTTGAACGCTGCTCAAAGGCTGTGACAGGCGACGAGAGACAGAAGGCAGGGTGAGGACCGCCGCTGGCACTACTCCACTCCAACTGGCTAGCTATTTCCGGGTCAACTATTTCAAAATAAGAGCTTCACATCGTTACAGTTTTTAATAGCCAAAATTTCAACCAGTAGTAGTACGATCCTATGATTCCTTAATGCCATTTTAGATAATGGTTACAAAATACTGGTGGCTCAAAGGTGGAGTGTTTCAATATTAACATTCAATTCAGGCTTAGGTGGCTGGCTTCAGGGTCACCTGATCCAGCCCTTGCTGTAAGCTTTATCAAAAAGGAAAGTTTGAAGTTATAGAATCGTAAAAAGGAGTGGGGTTGTCTGTGTATTGAATCCAAACTGGGAGCTGTTTCCACAGAGGAGGGCCCTGAAAGCTGAAGGTTTTGCCTCTCATTCAACCTTTACATATCCAACAAACCACAAATAAACTAGGGTGTCGTGGGGTGTGGTTTGTGGCTCTGTTCAGGGGAGGGGTGGAGCAGAGGATTCAGGGTGTGGTGACAGGGGAGGCTGGTTGGTGCCTAAAAGGCCCCGGGAAATGAATTTTCCAGGCGACTCATTACAACCCAATGGCCGGTCACATGGGATATGATAAAACTCTGGAGCAGATAATGGCCTGATTTTATTGGCCGGTCATCCTAGCGGATGTGCGCCAATGGTGCGCACTCTGCCTGGAGTTTCAGCTGGTTAACCAGCCAGCCATTCCAAAAGTGCCTTTGCACTCACTGACATTAATAGAGGTCCCTTTTAAGTGCATAGGTATGGTCCTCACTGGGCCATTTCACTGGAATGCATGGGAATAAGGCTTTGTACTAGTTGTGGTCGATTACGGTATCTCGAAGCAGTGCTGCTATGCACCATTTCTGCAATAAGTGTGGGGCAGGCGGTGTTTCAGATCCTCAAATAGATACTGAATGACCAGGGCACACCATTCTGTAAATCTGTTCGGACCAGTATGTACCACCCTCAGACTGATGGAGCAGCTGAATAACACTTTAAAGTTCATGATTTGTAAGTTTAGTCACGAGGATGAAGGCAATTGAGCTCGCTGGTTAGCACATCTGTTGTTTGCGGGAGGCCTCCACGGGTTTTCTCCCTTTGAGTCGCTGTTCCGCAGAAAGCCGCAGGGGGTTTTGGACCTAGTTAACAAAAATTTGAGGAAGGTCCAAGCCTAGCAAAAAATTGAAATTTAAACACATTTAAACTTAAAAAAAAAAAGAATAAAAGAAGAAGAAGTTAATCACATTGATTTTACATTCTCTCCAAGTGTCATAATGTAAAGCCAAAAAAGATTTTAAAAAATAAAAAAATAAACTGAGCTTGTTTTAGGAGTAAACCCACACCAAATTAATACCTGTAGAAGAAACAGAAACAAGCACTGGTGCTCTGGATGTTTGATCTGTTGTCAGATAGCTTCTGTCATTTGAAACCTCTCCCTTTTACCTACATTTAGCCTCAGTAAATTTGAGTTTGGCAATCCTGGGCCAAAATTACATCATTAGTAAGGTTCAAATGACAACTACTTGCAAATATCAAGGAAGAATGTTTTATTGAAATTAAAACAACAAAAAACAAAAACAGGAAAACAATGTTAAAGAGGCCTATGCTCTCCTAGAATTACAGCTACTTTTCACCTATTTATTTTTCCACAATTAAAGATTCTGCTTATAAAATGCCATAATTCATCACACTGCAGAGATGGATGGGAAATTTTAAAAAGAAAGATACCTGTGGGAACTTGCCATTTAAAGAAAAGAAAGAAAGAAAAATCCATGTGCAGTAGCAAGACACTTTTTGAACTGAATAAATAAAAAAGGAAAACTAAACTGAAGCTAAAGTATGAAATCAGCAGTTAAGGCAAAACGCTGAGAATCGCTCAGGAGCTTTTTACACAGTGAATCAAAGGAAACAGTATTTATCACGTCACTTATATGCATCTATTGTTGGCACGCGCTACTATAAATATCTGTCAATTACTTTCCTTGGGAGGAATATATAAGATCAAAAATTGTAATTATTTAAAATATGAAGACATTTAACAGTATGAGTCTGGCATTGGGTGTATAAAAAGATATTTTTCCTACTTTTATGGCAGAATGTGGGTGTGGTGCAAACAGACTGTAGCTTAAAGAAACTCTTTGTTACTCAAAACACTCTTAACTTGTGTTAATTTCCTAAAACATGTTGTGAGTTTACAAAAAAGGAAGGAAGCACGGCATGGATCTGATGGCTGACCCAACAGGTGCTCTTCAGCTGCACAGAGAGAAGTGCAAAAAACAAAATCCAGGAAGTCTTATAAGATTTCCTGCATGTAATCTTTTGCTGAATAATATTTGAGGGATGAGAAGTCCAGAGGGTAGAGCTAAGAGAAAACTTCCGCTTTATCATTAGAGGAAGTAAGGGGTGGTTGTTCGAGGAGGTATCACACGTTCAGAGTCGGGAACGGCTCGAAACAGCTTGGGCTCTCGTCTGTTGACGTCCTTGAAGACCATGATGGAGGCAATGTTCCCACAGCGGTAGCAGTAGTTGGGCGCTGACCACACGGTCACCAGTTTCTCATCAAACATGAACTTGTAGCCTTCGTGAACCAGCTGGTGTGCACGGCAGATGAGCTTCAAGTTGTTGATATGAACAAACTAAAACACAACAGATTAGAGAAGTAAGTAAAAGGAGGTTGACACGCTTTCCAATGACATCCAACACGGATGGTTCAACATACCTAGGGCTGCTCAATTAATCGAATTTTAATCACGATTACGATCTGGGCTTTCAACAATCATTAAAAATGTCCGAGCCGATTATTAGCCCCTCCCTCATTTATCCGCGACACCTTAAAGGCCGGTCCGTGAAAATATTGTCGGGCATAAACCGGTCCGTGGCGCAAAAAAGGTTGGAGACCGCTGATTAAGAGGACCCGAGGGAAGCTCGGAAAGCTAAGCAGAAGTTATTTGGAGAGGAGAGTGACTGCTGTTGGTTGAAAAGAGTTAAAAAAAAAAAAAAACTTCAGTGGTGTTGCACACTATTTTATATTATTTTTTTAAAGTCATTGTTAACCCTTTAAAGCCGGTCAGAGCAGCACGCTCCGTTTTGCGTAACTATTTTTAAATCCCTGTAGAACCTGAACCGTGTAAGCTAGCGCAATAATTTGTTTTGCATATGAAACCGGAGGAGTTGTACTTACATCTTATGCCATCAGCTTGTCCTCGGTCACGGTTTCCTTCCACATAAAGCTGTGCAAAAATTGCATAAAAAGCGCTTGCAGGAACAAAAACATAATATTCCAGAAACACGCTTTGCCGTTTCTATCAGCTGTTCGTAACACTTCCCACAGTGAAATGATGCACCTGCTGTTTTCTTTGCAAATTTGCATCATAGGATTGTTTTTTGTTTTTCCTGCAGTATATAAAAATTGCTGTATCTCCAAAATAAAACTATGAAGACACTTAAAATAAATTTCCTGTGGTGGGAAACTATTTTTTGCAACTTTATTGTATTTAAAGTTTTGAGGGATCAACCTCTTAAACTTCTCCAAGTAGAAATATATGTAAACAAAACAAAAGCGATTTTCAATTTTTTTTGTAGTTTATTGCACTTTTTTGCAATATTTGTAATTACTATGGACTTAATGCATACATATTATTAAAATATGGGCTATAACAGTTGTATTGATGTAGCAACTTGAAAAAAATAATATAAGCTCTGGTGGACTTGGTTCTATAGTAGGTCTTAAAGGGTTAAATAAATATCGTCAAATAATCGTGATCTCAATTTCAGTGAAAATAATCGTGATTATCATTTTTGCCATAATCGAGCAGCCCTAAACATACCTCATTGGTAACCTTGGAGCCAAAAAGCCAGCCAGCACCTCGTGGACTGATAGCCCAGGTGTCCACATCCTCTGGATCTGACCACACAAGATCACAAAAAGCCCCCTTGTGAGGAATCTCCTGGTTGCGTTCGATGGTTCGGATCTGGTCCAAAGTCTTGATGTCCGGTGAGAGACCACCATGGACACACAGGATCTGCTCATCTATCAACTGGGATTAGGGTTTAAAACATACTATTATGAACAAATCAATGAATAAACCCAAGTCAATAGACATCTCTATTAGCAACACTTCAAAGTTGCCATCTGCTTGTCTCTGTTCTACTCTTTCACAAACTGGAAAATCCTGACAGCAGAACAACTTTCAGGAAAGTTTGAAGTGCAGTACATTCAGCTGCTAAAGAGTGCTCATGAGATCTGGTAGCAGAACTGAAGAGGGCAGTGTCACAGTGTTTTCACACCTTCTGTTTAAATCAAAGTCTGGTTTGTTTTCCTCCTTGGCCAGATTCATTTGTGCAGATGTGAATCGCCAAACAAGCATAATGAGACCATTTGGAGGAAGTGGTCTCAGAGCAGTTCTGAATCAACTCCAGAACGGTTTGTTTATGGAGTGAACATGATCTGACCTCAATCTAGGACTGCAGCTATCAATTATTTTTGAAATCAAGGAAGCTATTGATTATTCCATTGATCAATCATGTAATATGCTAAGAAATACTTTCTTCTTATAATAAGCAATAAATATCCCAAAAAGAGAAAAAAAACCCCAAGGCTTTCAGAATGAACTGCTCACTGGTTTTTGAGAAGATTTTAGAAACTGCAATGTTTTAAAACTTAACTGCATACAACAAATTTAAACTCAACTCTTCGATTGCATGTATGTGGCATATTAAAATTCTTTTAAAAGAAACATTTTCCTAAATACAAAAATACATAAATAATCCCAATACAGTCAAAAGACATATATTCAATCTAAACTAAGGCATAACAAATTATCTTTACTATGTCTTCTTTCTGGCTTCCTAACATTAATAGGAGGCAAAAAGAGTTCTGAAACGAGGCAGTTCTGGTGTCCGCTCATGTTTGAGTTCAGTGTGCAAGTAAACTTGGTATCAGACTAAGTTAACAGTTCATCTGCATATTTTAATATAAATTCAGGAGGCTAATTGGTTAAACGTCTCCATTGTTTAACACATTGGCAGGCTACACAGCCGTGTGTTAAACAATGCATTGAAGCAAAGAATGTGGGTCGAAGATTTTTTATAATCAAATTATTTGAATAACTCAATGGATCGTTGACCGACTACCAAGTGTGCATTGTAGCCATGTACGCTTTATATTACAGATTGTGGAAAGGTACTATAGATGCAAAAATGATCTGTATGAGCTAGCAACTAGCTGTGAACGTAAATTCTCCGACGGTCCCACAAACACCACCTTCTTCCTGTATTTGCTCACTCCCCAGACACACCTGGCCAATAAGTGGACTAAATATTCTCACATGGTTTCTAGCGGCTCATTCTGGTTTCCTTTGAGTTCACTTGGATTTTTCTCAAACCAAATCATAGGGAAAAGCTACAAGTTTATTAACTCATAAATTGATTGGGACCAGAATAAACCATCTATTGATGTGAAAACACCCTTACTCTACAAAAATGTCTGCCACACTTTACTGTTCTTACTCTTCTCTAAAAGCAAGAACACATCCAAAATCATGAGCGAGCTGAAGCCTTGGATGCATAATTTCTTGAAATCTATCTTCCTGCTGTTGAAACAGACTAGCTTGCGATGACGGTCATGGTTATGATTCTGGCTGTGTTATGACCACTTTCAATGGGTTTAGCACTGATTGCATCTAGCGTTTATGTATGGAGTGAGTTGTTTTCTGGCGTTCTATAGTTTTGTGTTGGTAATACACCTGCTACAGAAGATTATATGGATACTTATATATCCATAAGATCATTAAAAGAAAGAAGTAACCTCAGAGTACTTTTTAATTGAATTCCTGGAGAATTATTGCCTTGATCCTTGTTGTGCTCTGTCTGTGATGATGAATGCCGTAATAAATATTTAATGCAAAGCTAACTGCCTGCTGGATAAAGGCACCTTTTAATATTAAAACCCCCCAAATTTAAGAAAATGTAATGTAAACCAGTGTGCTCTTTGTTTTGTTGTGATGCTAAAGACCCAATGTTTTAAATTGCAGCTTATTATGATAATGTATTAAATGAAGTAACAAGCAGCCATTTACATAAAGATAACATACAGGGGGTGAATAGCTACTTAAGATGTCTTTATGGATGCACTGGTTCCAATTACGCTGCATTTAAAAAGGAACAATAGTTAAATGTCATGTAACCGGAGAGAAGGAATCAGACTTACAGCTGCCACAGTCAGCATATCAAACACTTTCGTGCAATACCGCCAGGCATTTGCATTTCCATACTTTGTCTGACACTCATCTAAAACAAACAACAGACAAACAGAAAATGTAAACCATTGTTAATAATGAATTTTGAACTTAGTAAACACACAAAAAAATGTATTTCCATAAATACATGAAGTGAAGTACATACCATAAAATCCATACACTTGAGTTATCTGTCTGCTCTCATGGTTCCCTCGAAGGAGTGTGATACGATCTGGCCACTTGGCTTTTAAAGCTAGCAGGTGTGTAAAAGTCTCCAAGCTATAATATCCTCTGTCTACAAAATCTCCCTGGGAAGAAGAACAAGAAGACATTATTAAAGACTCAGACACTAAAAAGGTTCTGGAAAAGGTGGATATTTGTATGAGAACAGAACACCTGCTTTTTATTTTAACTAGTTGCATTAAACTTGCAAATGCATACTGGTTAAAGCAACATGTAACTAGGGATGTTCCTGGTGACCAATTTCTTAGTCGACTAAACGAAGAAACAATATAAACTAACCCACTAGTCTAAAAGTAAGACACGCTCAGATATTAAGTTAAATTTGAGAACCGTTTAATGGGAAATTTCAAAAACTAATAACAAAGGCATCTGAAACTATTAATCACATTCTTCAATAATGAGTCCTGCCACTTAAATGTGCGGCACCTCACATCATGTATTATCAACATTACACGTTATTCAAAAATTCTCAATGATAGGTTTTCATGGGCTGATTCAGCTGCTGAGAGGCATTACATTTTATGTAATGGTATTACAACATGCCTAACAGCCTTCATCATTCAGATTTATTTAAATGTGCTGCAGCTCAGGCAAAAGTAAAGGGAGCTTACTTACCATGAAAATGTAATTTGTGTCTGGTACTTGGCCTCCAGTTCTGAAGAGCTCGCATAGATCATAAAACTAGAGAGGAACATTAAGAAGAACTCATCAATCAAAATATTTAAATTAGAACTAGCACACGTACCAATAAACCTTGAAACCAAAATGAACTAAACTGGGGTACAAAAAACCCCCTTTCCACTAGTAACCACTTGATTCAACTTGGTTTTTAGGGTTTCCCAACAGGTACCAGAACTGGTAAAAGTACCTGGTACCAGCTACTTTTTATAGTACCGACTCAGCCGGGGTTCCAATGAGCCGAGTCGAGCCTGACGTCAATTGACTGCATGCCATCACTGGATAAATCAAGAGTGACTCCTTCACAAGAATCAAACCCGGAATTTTTGAAACCAGGCAACGAGGGAAATGGCTACACACAAACTAACACCGTGGTCCAATGACAAGGTGCAGATGTTTACTAATGGCTTAGCAGCGAGTATATTATTGTCTTGATGTTCTCAGTTGTTATGTGCCATAATGACCTCACCCACATTAATTGCAATTAAAAATAGACCGGAGCAGAGTAGAGCAGAGTCAAGTTGAGCAGAGCCAAGTAGGTGCTAGTGAAAAAAAGAATCCTAACTTAACTTATTTCCAAATTATATTCGTATTATAAATGCTTTTTATGACTGCAATAACATATTGCCACCGATCCTATATTGGGGTGGCTGTAGCTTTAGAGGTAGAGTGGGTCATTTACTGATTGGGAGGTTGCCGTTTCAATCCCTAGCTGCTCCAGTCTGCATGCCAAATATCCTTCAACAAGATACTAACCCCAAGTTGCTATCTGATGCCTCCATCGGTCTGAATGTGTGTGAATGTTAGATGGAAAGCGCTTAAAGCATAGAAAAAAGTGCTTGTGTGAATGAGCGTGTTATATAAAGCGCCCTGAGTGCTCTGGGAGAGTAGAAAAGCTCTACATAAGAATCACTCCATTTACCATCTAAATGGAGTGATTCCATTTAGATGGTAAATGGTACGCTTTTCTTGTTAGTGGTTTCTTTCTCTCTCTTTTTTGCTACAAGTTGACTCGTGGCACAGGGTACACCACTGCTCATGATGGAATGAGACCTGTTATCCCGGAGGAGCTACAGAGTAGACAATGGTGCTGCAGAGCTGGAGCTAAACAAAGAGCTGAGGTGGAAGAGTGGGATATGAAATGTCCATTCCAGCTATTATATGGGGAATGTGAGGTCCTTGGATAATAAGATGGACAAGCTTGTAGTGGTGATTCAGACCCAAAGCGAATACTGATTGGCTTCCCAAACTTGCAAAAACAGTTGAACAAATTTGTCCACCTGAAAAAAAAAGTGGTGAAGTCTTGGACAACTTCACATCAACAGCATGCTGAACTGAAGCTGCAGACAAGAAGGGGCTAAGTAAAAGCTGTTTCCTAAAACAGAAGTTCTTCGGGATGTGCAGCAAATATTACAGATGCTCAATCAGTCTGTTGTGGTTTTATTGCCATTTTAAAACTCAATTTGCTTTGATGATGATTAAATATTTTACTGGTCAATAATAATAATAATAATAACAATAATAATAATAACAACAATAATAATATTCACTTCTGTAATCAAAAGTATTTTCAAAATATGGGATAAATAAAGCATTTTTTTCTTCTTCTGTATTTTGCCCATGGCGAAAATTGTGCATCACCCTGGGAGAAAATTATAGAAGAAGAAAAAACAAAAATCACACAGACCTACCTGACCATGAATGTCTCCACAAACTGTAACCGGAGTAGCGACTGGCTGAACATTTGATTCTTCAAGCAGCAAATCACAAACATAATCACATAATCTCTACAGGAGGAAAAACACAACACTGTTAGTGGACACAGGCACTTGGAAACACACAGCATGAAAGGCAGCGTGTGTATCACACAGCCCATTAAATTCTATTCTTACAGATGGACTGTAAAATGGGAAATGGGTTGAGATTTACATTCTGTGCTGCATCTTGTGCAACAATACTTTTACATGCAGACTGAAGGATCTTCCACTATCTCCCGAACCACAGCACTAGAAACGCTAGAACTCTTTAAAGGCGATTTCTAGGCATGATCTGTGACAAGGTAGGCACTCAGCTGAGTGCTATGTTTCTGCAGTCATGTGACTTTCACATTTCATATTTCTGTGGTAATCTTGTAAGTAGTTTAACTGCTAGTTACAGTTAATTAAACTAGCTGTAGTCCAGATTTCTCCCTATGTCAGATCGGGCACTAATAGGAGCCATCTATTTCCAAGTATGAAGTAATTAATGTCCTACTGAATATTAACTCGTTTTTTAAGTGAAACATTTTCACAGCAGTGTGACTAAAGGACTCAAATGGGACGTAAAGAATACAGTTAGGAACTACTTTGATCTCAGTTCATTCTGAGACATTTACAAAGTCAAAATGACTCCTTTTTCAGAAAGTTTCATTTTTCTTTGCAACGCACTCAGAGTCTGTCTGATATTTAGCTCTGATCGCCGTTTCAAGCAAAGCCTCAGAGCAGAGGGATGAATAAACGTATAGATGTTGTCTTCCTTATGCTATTTACACCCCCAGTGCACATTTCATCGGAATATTTCGGCTACCATGATATCTTTCCACAGTTAAACCTATATCTTATATTTAAAGTTAATACGGCTTATGGTAACGGCAGACACTGACACAGCAGTGGTTCCCATTACAATGTTTTAAGTGGCACCTTCCTCACTATTCACACCGACGTGTTTAACAGAGTCAACATGCGTTATAATTCTGTGAGATTCATTTTTAAAAGCTGAAACAAACAACAGAGTATTACTTGAGCGTGAAACCCAGTTAAAACTACCGGCCACATTTGTTGAACAAACCTCGTCTAGTCGCACCATGACCTTTTACGAATACTAACAGAGCTTATCTGAAGTTAAATCCAGAAACTTCGACTCACCTTTAGATCATTTTCAGGCAGATATTTGCACTGTCTCGCTATTTCTACGTACTTATCGAGGTCTAAAGGCGCCATTACCGAAACGCTAAAAGCAGCTAAACTGCAGCTAGCTTCCTTTTCTTCTTCCTGTTCGCTCGCCGCTCCTTCATTTTCAACTTCAATTTCCTGCATCAAATCAGCCTACCACATCCTGCCCACAGTTTCAAAATAAAACTATTTACCAATGACACAGAGGCTAGTAATGAACAGCAACTAAATTAAACTTAGAAATGTCAAGAAAGAAAATATATAATCTACCATAAGTGCTTATTTAAGTAAATTTCCGGCTGATAATAGCGAATGTTATAATACCTTTATGTCGAACGTCGCATTGAAAGGAAATGAACTGAAGCCAACTTGACTCTCGTCAATGGGCTTTATTGTGCAACTAAACCAAACATCGCCCCCTGTTGGTACGAGCACTGTGTCATCCACTTGTTTACATACAGTATTATGGAAGCCACACATTGCGTGGGGCAACGAAAGCAGTCACGTTACATAACAAACTTTACTAACATTAAATAAATAATAACTTGACCCAAAAAAATAAATCAATGACTTTATTTAAAATGTTTTATCTCCTGCCTATGACCTCTCCAAACACTTGCTGGTGTCCTTCTTCTTCAAACATCAGCGGCGCTACACATCAGTAAAGGCCCCTGCAGAAGTCATTAAAGTGTCTCATAACGCTGTGCACTGCCATCACTCAGAACATCCTGTGCAATATCACAAAGGAATGTGAAATGGATGTCCGTGTGTCTCTTGTAATTCATAATCGTCGGTATTTTGTCTGTATTTGCATTTATATTTTCTATTTTTAATTTATATATAATATAAAAGCACTTGCTTGATTTTTTTAAACGTGCCTTAAATGTATTCAACTCAGGGAAATGCTTGACATTTTGCTGTACACCTGTAACATTACAACTAAAGGTATTCTATTCTATAGCTAAAAATAAAGGTTGATATTTCATGTTAATCACATTCACACTTGGAGCCACGTGAAATCATTAAAATGTGTGCTGGGCTTCTGGAAGACTCTTTTAGCCTGAATACATCAGAGGAGAAAACACAAAGATAACGAGTCAACATTACACTTATAAACTAATAAACTGTAACCTTCTTACACACAATTGTAAAATCCTTAGGTTGCACAAAACAAAACATGGAAATTTTCCTGTTTAGAATTTTCCAAATTGAGTGTTCAGAAGTGATTTTACATAAAATGTGTATTTCACTTAGCTTTGTAGATTGTAAAGGTTACATTTATTAAGATATTAAATTTACTTTTAAAAAGTAAAAAAAGGTTTGTTTATGTAGCACA